CTTAGGTAGGCATACAAATCTGTGTGAGATGTACATCATATGTTAAGTATTCAAGGTATTTATCTTTTGAATAGCAATTAATTTTACTAAATTTTATCTATCATTTGAAATGCCAAACTTTCAATCCTAGTGATAAATAGTTAAAACCAGAAGCACAATTGGAAATTCAGACTTCAATTCAAATGTAAATTGGAAGTCTATACTTCTTCTCATTGTATATTTTGAAACCTCACATTTTCTTTGACAATGAGATTGAATCAATTTTTTCATTAAACTATGGTCAGTGTTATTAAGAATGTATTCATCTTAATTTTTTATCAATTTCTACTGCATGAACTATTCTGTGCTCTATATCCAAATTTAAACAAAAAGTTTAAAGAGTCAAATGTACTTAGATAAAGTTAAATGGCAGAAAGATAACAAATGTGAAAAAGTGTGCATTATAAAAGTGGCAATTAATATAGAACCCAGAACTCTAGTATTTGACATTTAAGCATCTCTCTCAAGACTTCATCATGAACAATTTATAGCCCTAACTACAAAATGAAATGTCATATATAATTGGTCATGTACCTTTGACATTTCGTCTCAGGTTTGGTGAATCAATTTTGTAATTTGGAACATTTGAAGCCAACATTCAGAGACCAGAATTGCAGAACTAGCTATTTTAATTATTTTAGAGAATGTGTAACTTTTCTTGTTTCTTTAAATTTAATAAAGCAAACCATGGCCAGGTAAATGCTGAGGTACCATGCAAAGATACTGCAAGAAAAAATTATAAAGTTAGTAATTACATAGGCCTTTTAATTTCTTTTTTAAAGTGAATTAACTAAAAATGCCACATTTACTTTTGAATTTTAGGGGGAAAACTTTATATATTCATGAAGAACTGAATTCATATATATATATGAATTCATATATATATTTATATCATATATATATATATATATGATATAAATTGCTACTTAAAATTTCAGGCCAGGTTATAGTCAGATAGTGTCAAACTGTCTAAACCTTTGGCATACGTAGCTCTCTTTTTATGAATGCACAAGAAGATAACAAAAGTACTAAAAAACATACCAAAAATTTTATAGAAATGGGAAAAGTAAGGGAAAGGTAAGGTTATGAAGAAGAAAAGTATGAAATCAAAGAATTGATCACTATCTGGATTCTCTCTCTGTTTACCTACTCTTCTTTTCCCTGAGAATCTGCCTCCTTGTTTAATGTAGTCAAACATAGTGGGATGGATTCCAATTGGTTAAGCTTGAACTGTGATCTGAGGTACCCATACATAATATTCTAGGGCAATGGGTGAGTGTTTTTCTCAAAATAATAGTGAAGTGATCTTCAACATTTTTTCATATATTTGTTGATTGATTGTATTTTATCTTCTGAGAAGTGTCTGTTCAGTTCCTTGGCCCATTTACTGATTGGGTGTTTTTTTGTTTTTTTTTTTTTTTGGTGTTAAGTATTTTGAGTTCTTCATGTATTCTAGAGATTAGTGCTCTATCTGATGTGCATGTGGTAAAAATTTGCTTCCATTCTGTAGGCTCTCTATTCATCTCACTGATTATTTATTTTAAAGACTGAATGTTTTCTCTGGTATGTGGGTGCTGATCCATAATGGAACTTGGGGTTGGGGAGCATGGGAGGAATGGAGGAACTTAAATAAGGCAAAGGGGAGGGAGAGAAATGGAGGGGGCATGGGGTAGAAAAGGTAGTGGAATGAGATGGAGATCATTATCCTAAGTACATGTATGAGGACACAAATGGTGTAACTATACTTTGTGAACAACCAGAAACATGAAAAATTGTGCTCTATATGTGTACTATGAATGGAAATGCATTCTGCTGTCATGTATATAACAAATTAGGGTAAATAAATAAATCAAAAAAATAATAGTGAAGTGAGTCTCTAGAAATGGAAAGGAGGTCAAGGATTCTAGGCAGGCAAAAAATAAGAAGAAGACACATTTTCTCCTTTTGTTTCCTCTTTGCTCTGGGAATAGACTATGATTCAGTATTATCGAATATGCAAATGCAAGAAATAAAAATAATTAAACAGGATATACTTATGGGGAGCAAACTAAAATATCTTTAATGTGTCTCAATATTTTCTAACCAATTGAGCCTCTCTTCTCTCTAGCTTAAGAAACATCTTTTTAAAATCATAGAGAATGACTGAAAATCAATAGCTTAGAGACCTGCTAAGTGGAATGGGAAAAATGAAAACCTCAAAAGAATCAAAAGTGGACATTGTCGACCTTAAGTGGAAAGTAAATTCGCACTTTCTAACTATATCTTATTCACCTACATATCCATATTTTGCCAAAAAGCATGCATATTCTGGATCTTTCTCAGTAATTCATGACTGTCTTTTTTTATCTCTTTAGCTAAAATCCTACTCATCAATTGGTCTTAGTACACAGAATTTACACCTTCTATACCTACCTCACCTTTTATACATAAGATGATTTCTGTAACATTTATTACTTGAAATGTTAAAAAACAGCAAAAATAAAACCAGAAAAATATTTACTGTGTGTCTTCATTAATGTGGCTGAAAAGAAAGGGCAAGCTGTTCTATCTAGAACAGTGTTTTTCTATCTCAGCTCAGCATCCTCTAAATAACTCTAGAGTGTGTACATGTGACATGCCCATCTTGTAGTAGTTCACATACACCATCTCTACCCTTTTACACTCCTACCTTTACTTCAATCTTTGATATCTTTACTAGAGTTTTGAAGAAACCATGAGGTCCATGTTACTTCAACTGAATCACAGCATCACTCATTTTGAGCTGACCAGAAAATATGATCTTTCTCTTCTGTCCCACCAAATGCAATGCCCTTAATATTTGCTTTGAAGTTTGACTGAATAAAAGACTATGTCTTCCAAACTATTAAAACTGCAGTGAAAACTAGCCTCTGTACAAATTCTGCCACATTTAGAAATACATAAAAGGCAGATAGTATAGGGCCCAGGCTCTGGAGCTAGTTGAGCTGTGTTCAAATCCAGTTGTGCCATTTATTTACTGTGGAGTTTTTGGAAATCCACATAAACTCCCTGGGCCCAAGTACCTTCAACAATAAATTGGGTGATGATCACGTTCACCTCAAGTGTTGTTGTGAAGATTAATGATTTTATTTTATGTGTAAACTCCTTAGCGCAGTGCCGGGTGCCAAGGGAGCAGTTAATGAATGCCAGGCACTCACTTGGCCCTTTCAATTAGGAGATTCCTATACTGCAGCTCTCTCAAAAAGACTTCTTCCTTTGGTGGTAGGAGGGGTGGTTAATTTTCTTAACTTCTCTCTCTCTCTCTCTAGAACTCATTTTATTCAGATATTTTACATAATACTTCAATGTGGTTTGCCTCTTATCTTTCGTATTTCCCTATTTCTCTAATGTTTATTTGATATTTGGAAAATATTCTGTGATTGGTTTCCAAAGTACCTGAAAATTTTTTTATTTTATTTTGCAAATTTATTTCTAAGTTTCTGGATCTTTGTTTCTTTCTAGGAAATTTGTCCTTTGTTGTTTTTAGGTGCAAAAACTCTTAAAATTCTCTGAGCATATAGATCAGAATGCCTCTGTCTTTTGCCTCTGGTCTACATTCTCCTCCATCACTTGTATTATCTGAGTGTCGGGGTAATTTCTCAGAGTGACAACTTAAATCAGATGTTAAGAGAAAGTTTTCTCTCCATTCATGGACTGTGTAAGAATGAGAAAATCCAGTGCTGTTTGGCAGCTCTGGGTACGAGTGAGCTTGTTTTCTGTTCTTCTTTGCTTTCCTGGTATAGGATAAGAAGCAAATGATAAGAAGGGATGAGGGAAGGCCAGGTGCTAGCAATCATATCACCTTGGAACCTCTACAGTTCTTTGGATGAATTCTAAGTTATCCTGCCTAAAGGTTAATGTTGGAATGTCATATGTAAGGTGTGAATCTTAGAGGAAAAAGAGTAAACTCCTATGAAAAATTTCAGTTAATCATTATGAATTTAGTTCCATGTTTTATTCCTATTAACCTCAGTGATAGCTGGTATCTTGCAGTGTTTAGACTCTGACTTTTGGCAGGGAAAACATCTTGCTTCAGAGATGCTGCATATTTTAGACCAACCTAGGCTACTTCTTCCACTACCAGCTGCAATATTCACTGCTTTACCATCCAGTTACCAAAGTGCAATATTAAATTTAAATTGTTCACGAGGTCCTTCTAATAGTTTTGTTCATCATAAGCTTCTAACTTTCAGTGACTTAGTATTATTTGATTGCCATTTTTTAAAAGAAAGAAACTAATCATATGATTAATCCACTCTATTTATCCAGATAATCTAACTGTATAGGAAACTTCCACATGCAAAAAAACTTAATTACCTTTAAACGTTTGACCAGACAACTTCCCATATAACACCACAATAGTTGTCCATTATGGATCTTTAAAGTTAGATAAATAATATAAATATTTGTATTACCCAACAGGCAACAAAACAAATAGATAATCATCAAATATGATAATGGAAATTTGTGACAGAATATGTTTGACTTTCCTATGTACTAAAACATCATTTAGCAAAATGGGAATGAGATTTCTTAATGCTTAATTCAACTCTAACAATCTTACATATGAGAGTATCTGTTCTTTGCCAAAAGGTGTTTTTAAATTAGATAATATGAAAGAACATCCAGCTAAAGATTTGTAATGATAAGCCTCCAATAAACTTCTATTATCTTGTGATCTTCTCTAACCATGGTTAGAGAAAAAGATGTATATTTATCAAGACTATGAAACAAAGCTTAGGTTTTTAATTGTGATTATCACAATTCTAAATAGTAAACTAACTTTAGCTGAACATGAGATCAACTCAGAATGACTTAATGAGCCAGGGATTTATGATCCCTTGAGATAACATTGTGCTTCCAGGGTTGTTTTACTGATATAGTATATGCAAAAGTTCTCTACCAAACTCCTGAGTCCAGTGAGACAGAACACAGACTGTAAGTCTTGTGGAACAGTTTCATTATTCATGAATATGCATCAAGGATAAGCAGAATCCTGGGATCCATAGTGAGCCGGTCTCCCAAGACTCAGAAAAGTTGCCCTAGGAGGATGGAATCTCCTTTATGTTTTCCATTGCTTTAATAGCTGAGGGCCCCCAAAACACTCATCACGGTTACACATGCTGGGAGCCACTTGGTTAAATGAATGCAAGTGATGTGAAACTCCCGCTTCTAGGAAGAAAGAGGACTCAGTCCGTGTGTGGTTCCAGAATTTCCTTCTTCTTTCAGGATGTTGCACTTGACTTTGTGATTGAGAACTGCAAGCAAGAGAGGAAAGAGCTGAGTCAATTAAAGTCACCCTGTTACTTATTTTCTTGTACTGCATATTAGAATATCATTGGAAAGCTAAGCATCCCGATACTGTGAATGTCAACTGGTTATTTTCTATCATGGGTTTCACTGATTAAAAATAAGTTTCAGTTCATCACACATTGCAATTTTTTTTAAATAGGAAGCCTACAATAACTCATTTACACATATAGAAAGAGTGTAGACATAATAATTACTTGGCAATATTATTTTCAAATTTTTAAATGAAAATAGAACAAAAATAGAAACATTAACTCAAAGTTGAATAATTAACTAAATCTATAAGCTAATTTATTTACTTTCTGTCCTCTGTGAAAAATTAAAACAAGTTTTGGCTTGTTGTACATCCTACGAGAATAACAAGATGATATTACAATGGCTTCAATATCACACCCTTCTCAAAATTATAGAAGTAAAAGCATATACAGAAGAGTATTCTGAAAAGTAAAATTAGATGTAATAAAATTGTTATAATTACGAGCACGAATTTCTAAGTTAAGACCTTGAATTTAAATATAGAAAATAAAGAAAATACATTGTAGACAACAAAACAATTATCTCAGGTGTTCACATCTACTGTACAGGAAAGTTATTAAAAACAGAAGGAAGAATCTGATGCTTTTACAAGAAAGGAATGTTGCCTATTTGGTTTTGAGGTATTTTCCTTATCTATAATGTTATTCTGAGTAATCATATACTGTAAAATTGATTTTTAATACATTTACATTTTTTTCTTTAAGAAATTATTTAACTTAGATGTTACACAGAGTGGTATATATAGTGGTATGTATAGTTAATACTGTATTGTAAATTTCAAATATCCTCAACACAAAAAATGATAAGTGAGTGATGGGTACGTTAATTGACTTGATTTAATTATTTCACATTGCATTTGTAAATCATACCATCACTTTTTAATCTTTTAATTAATTGTCAATTTGCTATAAAATTTTAAAAGGAAGAAATTAAGTTTATTTAAAAAATCATTTATCCTATATTTATCACCTAGTTCACAGAAAAAGAGATAAAGAGATAAATATAAGAATAAAGCACAAAAAGTAAAATTAATTCAAACTAGATAAATGTTTTTTAAAAGTTGAATAAAAATGAGGGAATTTTAATGAAGAAAGAAAAATTTTACCTAATGCAATTAGGGATCAGTCGTGTGATAAATTTAAAAATTTGAGATATCAGGGTAGAATTTCATTTCTTTTCACAACTTGCCATCAAGATCTCTAAACTTAAGAATCAAGCCACAAGCACACATGTTCAGCATCTCTCTAAAACAGTGGAATACATCACAGTCTGACTATTGTATGATTCAAAACCAAATGAACAACACACCTTATGTATGGAAATTAGAAATATGTTTTGGAGACTTACAAAAAGCATTTTTTTTTCCATCTCTGGTCTGAAGTAAGTTCAAGATGTATTTTAAATCCATTGTTTCCCATGCCTCATCCCTGAGCCAACTCATCAGCCTGTCTCACCTTGATAAGAGAACCTTGCTCTCCACTACTGAATCCTCCATGCCTACTAATGAGCTATAATGAAGTAGAATGACCTTTCAAAATAAAATATCAGTAAAATATACCTTGTCTGAAATGTTTGGAACCAGAAAGTTTTCATATTTTGAACCTTTTTTTTATTTTGGAATTTTTGCTTAGACCTCTTAAGTTGAGCATAAAGAACAAATAATTTAATTCTCTGCTTCTCTGTTAACATATCTTAAATGCCACTGAAGACTTAAGAGACCTAAAAATAGCATCTTCTCTGGTTCAAATTGAAAGTACTATATGCCCTCAAAACATCTTTTTTTAGATGAAGTTTTATTTTTAGTATAAACATTTTTTAAATGTGCTCAGAATTCAGTAGGATATATGTCATTCAAAACCACCAACAGATTACAATTAGTTATAATTTTATTTCTGTTAGAAGATAACCACCAAAGAGTCTTTCCAGTGTTTAGAAATAGCCATTTCAAAAGTTCTGTTAGTTTCTAACATCAGCCTCTGGGATTTGCTTTCTTCTTCTTCTTCTTCTTCTTTTTTTTTTTTTTTTGGTGAGGAGTAGTCATATAAAGGATACATTCATATTTTTTCTAACTGCTCTTCAAATGATAAGTGGTACCTTTTAATTACATTCTATATGGTAATTAATTTAAAATATCCATGCAAATTCTTCATTTTGAGTCCCTCTTCAGACAACTCCTAGATGCCCTGGGCTCTTAGCAATTTATTCCAGCTTTCAAAATATTCTGAAAGTGTCTAAGATAATAAAGGTTCTTGAAAATATTCCAAGTAGCTAGAAAATATAAACAGCCATTTGCAGAACAGTACGCTAGCAATGCATATATTTGCATTTTTGAAATGAAGTATTCACTGTAAACACATAAAAATAGAACAGCAAATGAATAACAGATTTTGAGTTATATGAATATCTAGCTATTTTACAGTATAATTAATATAAGAAGTCATCATCACTGGTAGATGGTGTGATTCAATAGGTCTTTATCATAAATTTCCTCTTAGGTCTAGAAACTTTTTGTAAGGAAAGTATGCTTTTACTTATTCACAATTTAAATAATTACATCATAATTTTGCTTCCAACCTCCTTGTACTTTATTATACATTGAAATCTGCTGCAATTTGTCAACATTAAATTGAAAGAATGACAGACTAGGCAAGTAGGAAAGCACCTGTAGTAATGACTAATCTGGTAGGTTCACAGAGCAAGGAAGTTGAGGTTGGAGTTAATAGGAGTGGCTTGTCTTGGCAGGGACAAGAAAAATATTTTATCATTGTCAGTAATCATTACAGCAGATTGAAATTTTATTCATTCAAGAACTGATTTCAAAGTCTGCTCATAGTACCTCCTATAATTTTCTATACCTTGGAACTCTTCTTTTCTGTACCCAGGGTTCTTTTATTTTCTGCATACTTACTATCCTGCAATTAGTGAAATCCACATAAAGTTTGCAAGTTTCAAAAGGCAGCAGAACACAACAGACACTAGTATGGCAATATGTAAATCAATGGATGTGTAACTGATGTGATTCTGCAATCTGTATATGGGGTAAAAATGGGAGTTCATAACCCACTTGAATCAAAGTGTGAAATATGATATATCAAGAACTATGTAATGTTTTGAACAACCAACAATAAAAATTTTTTTAAAAATTAAAAAAAGTAAACCCCAGCTTCAATCTGAATCCAAAATAAAATTGATATATTTTAAAATTCTCTTTTCCTAGAGAGAAAACATAGTTTCTCCAAAGTACTCCATATATCCAATATGACCCCTTTAAGATATAACCAGGTGCATATGTGCATTCTGAATCAAAAGTGAGAGCTTAATGTATGCATCAGGAATGAAGACATTTAATAAACATAATGTTTACTATTAATTAAAACAAATGCTTATTATTTATATTTTAAATTATTAAGAGTGAGATAAAATTAGCTAATATTTCTGATTCTGCACAAGCGACTTGGATATAAGAAATGAACAAAAGTCACTGAGTTTTCTTTTATTGTATTAGATGTCTGGTAAATCCATTCTTAATTGGAGCATTGTAGTAAATTGGATGCTTGCGTTTTTCTTGGGGTTTTTAGATAATGGTATAAATTGAATAAGAAAAATATCTTAGAATTTTTCTCAACACAGCCCGCTTCGAGAAGTTTACATGTTTATCTTGCCCACAGTCTTGATACATGTTTTCACTCTTTAATTTCTAATAGTTATTTCTTATTTTGTTCTGGTATTCTGTGGCTAATAGATGTAGTCATACATTTATTTCCCTCCTCTCTCAAAAGATGTTCTCACTTCATACTCTTTAAAAAAATAGACCCAACACTGAAAGTTGCTCAGACAGGGAGTGATAAAGCTGAAATTCAATTCCATATTGAAAATGGTCATGCTTTTTGCAATAATATCATAGTGATTTCATGACACGTTTAGTTTTTGAATAGTACCAGTAAGCATTTAAAACCCAAATAATTGAAAATTTACATGACTGGTTTAGTTACCCTTGATACTTAAAAAATGTATTCTCATTTTTCCTTTCAGTACTTCCACTAAGAACTCATTTTCTCTTTTCATAAACAAATGCTCTCCCATAATGTTTTGAGTCACATTTTTAAATGTCTACCTTAGATGACAAAATATTTAGGAATAAACACAGTCTTTGTGATCCAAGCGCTCAATTCTGAATTCCACCTCTACCATTCATTTGCTGGTTAAACTTGGAACACAGTTTCAGCTTTCTGTGTCTTGCTGTCTTCTTCAAGTGGGTGTAACAAAAGAACTATTCATATAGCTGTTTGAATTACTTAATAAAATTTGTATAAAATATGCACATTCAATAAGCACCGACTATTCTCTCTCTGACATTTCAGACATTCAATAAGCACTGACTTTTCTCCCTTTGAGCAATTTTCTCCTAAACAATACTTGACTATTAACTGTAGTTACCAGGCTGCACAGTAGATCTACAGAACTTATTTACCTTATTCCAGTGAAACTTTGGACTATTTGGCCAGCATCCATTCCTCTTCCCCTCCTGCCCTCTGACAGCCTCTGGCAAACACTGCTCTGTTCTCTGCTTTATATATATATGAGTCTACGCAGGTTCGTCTTTCAGTGCTTGTTTTATTCCACCTAGCATAACGAACTTCCAGTTCATCATTAATTTTTGCAAATGAAAGAATTTTCTTCTTTTTAAAGGCTCAATAATACTATGGAGTGTGTATATCACATTTTCTGTAACTTTTTGTCCATCAATATACTTAGGCTATAATATGTCTTCTCTATTTTATTTAATCCCGCTTTGAAAATAGGAGCACAGATATCTCCTTGACATTTTAACTGTGTTTCCTTTGGATACATATCTAGACATGAGGTTGCTGGATCATACACTAGTTTTATTTTTAACTTTTTGGAGGAACTC